AAGAATCAATAGTGAAACTGAAGTCCAGAGTATGTGAATAAACACTGTCATTAACTGACAAGTGTTTACTGCAAGATTAACTGCAGAAGATAAAAAACGTTGTTCTGAATTTTTTATTTACACCACTTGAACATATCAGTATTTTTTTTGTAAAGTCCTTTTGTACCTCCCCCCCCCCACCATCCTGTAGCACTGCCTTCCCCCTCAAGATACAATCACATCCTCATGTATTATAGATCTAGTACAATCTTGGGAAGTTATCACTTGTCTTTATTGTTGCTGCAGCACTAAGAACCATAGAACAACATCATTCACAGCAACAAGATCATTAATATTACAGAGTATGAGGTTTCATAAACTTTACACTCTAGAAAATGCCAACTGCATCATTCAACGCAGACAGACGCTGCAGCACAAAGGAAATCCTTTTCACTGACGATAAAGTGATAAAGACCAGAGACAAATTCATCATTGTGGGTAATGCTTACAGTACACCCCCACTGTTTAACTCTAGCAGACCATGGTAAACACATGGCAGAATACTTTGTGAAGCCCTTCAAATACCAAGCAAGGAAATCAAAGTGAAGCAAAGTATTTAAGAAGATGATGCCTGGTGAAGTATAACTAAGACCACATAGGAAATTACAATTGAGAGGAAGTGTCAAGGAGTTCATAAATCCCCTTAGCGACAAACAAAAGTGGTAGAGAGTCACCCCAAATCACTGTTTGAGCTGTCAAAACTGTGTCAGGTTCTTGTACCTGGTGACAAGGGCAAAATAGACATTTCCTTGCCTTGGGCATTTTTTTATGTTTATTTTTTAATAAATTGTTTTTTATGAAGTTTTTCTAAACTAGAAATACAAATTAGACATTCCAGAAATTAGATGTGAAAGCTTCCATTAGTCTATTTTATTTTCTGATTTTGTTACCACATATATATCTTGTTTTACTCTGACAGCTCACAGTATGGGGAACAGAATGCCAGAACATATGAAGATTGTATCGGCTCGCCATTAAAACAATTACACACTACCCAGCTGGGACTCCTTGATGTTGTTCAGAATCACATCTCTAAGAATCTCTAAAACAATCTCTAATTACAGAATTACAGATATAGTATACTGTATGTATTAATATATTAAGAAATAAATCCATAGATTGAAAATACAATATTATTGATTAACTGCTGTAAAAAATGCTTAAAACTACAAAATCAATATACAGATTACAAAAGAAATATTCTAGGCTTGCAAGAGCTATTCTGAATCTATTGTGAGGCAGTCCTTCTGATGCTACCGTGTTTGTGACAGGCTGTGTGCATCATGTTTCTTTCAGTTTGAAGTACTGCTCAATTGAAACTTTGCTAAATCTGTATATTTAGGAGGTCTCAGATGCTAGTTATGCTCTTTTTCATAATTCCACATTGACACTTAACATCAGACTACAGGAATATAAAACTACATCAAAACCTCAAAGAAGAATTCCAATTATGAATTGTAACTGTTGTTACGGCAGCTGCTGAATGGCTTTCTACAGTATATAAGTATTCATTTATTAATCCCACAATGTCATACATTGCTTTACCTTTCTTCGTTATTATTCGCTGATTGACATGGAAAAAAACAAAGCCTGGCGTATATTACCAACTTGCACTGAACTCTTGAGTTTTAAAAGCAGACTCAGTATACCCATTTGTTCCTTGCTTAATTGAGTGGAAATGGTTCAATGCTGGGGAAAATTGATGTTTTGTGAATTACACTGAGCTGAGCCCAGGAAAATGCATGTGATACAGTATGTTATTCTTATCTCAAGGGCAGCACACACAAGCTCTGCTGTTTGTTTTCAACTCAGCACTTTTCTCATAAAAGTCTGTTCCTTAACTGAGATGCTTATTATATCAAATGTAAAACTTAAAGAACATTTGTCCCATTTTCGCACTGTTCTACATAAATATGACCCTATATGTAACCTTGAACTTGAACTTGAACTTTATTGCCATATGTAACCGGTACTGATACAGTGGAATTCTTACTTACAGAAAGTCTCTCGATTGTAAAACAGTAAAAAGTGTAAAAAACAAAACAAAGTGCAAACAGTGCATCAAGACAATATACAAACAAACAATAGACAATGTGCAAGTAAACATCTAGACAGTTTGAATGTAAACAATACAGACGTGTAAACAATGACTGGAGATGTGCAATAGATAAGAAATCATAAAGAGGTAGATGGTGATGGTGTAGGTGTGGTCCGAGGGGGATGGCTAAATTTGTTCGCCAGTCTCACTGCTTGTGGATAGAAGCTATTGAAGAATCTAGTGGTAAGTGTCCGTATGCTCTTATATCTCTTGCCTGAGGGCAGTGGGGTGAATTCTACCACGGCAGCGGTCCTCATAGAGCTGTTTAATCTCGGTGAGACCGCAGCTGATGATCTTCTGGGCCATATTGACCATTCTCTGCAGTGCCTTTCTTTCTCGCGAAGAGGTGTTGCCATACCACACGGTGATCCCGTTGGTGAGGACGCTCTCGATGGTGCAGCGGTAGAAGTTCACCAACACATGTATTGGCATCCCCCATCGCTTGAGGCACCTCAAGAAATAAAGGCGCTGCTGAGCCTTCTTCATGATAGAGTCAGTGTTCACAGTCCAGGTTAGATCTTTAGAGATGTGAATTCCCAAAAACCTAAAGCTGGTGACTGTTTCCACTTCCGTTCCATCAATACTGAGTGGGCTGTGAGTGTATGGCCTGTGTCTCCGAAAGTCCACTATTAGCTCTTTCGTTTTCTTTATGTTCAAGTCCAGGTTATTGCTACGACACCACCTAAGCAGCTGTACAACTTCATCCCTGTAAGTGGACTCGTCATCATCACTGATCAGTCCTATTATAGTGGTGTCATCTGCAAACTTAATGATGCGGTTGTTGCTGTGTCTTGACTAGACTTATGAAGTGGCAGCAAAATGCATGTAATTTAGAATTGCATGTTTCAAAGAACATTTTGATGTTTTGAATTGCCTTTAGTGTGTTCTTGTTAACGTTTTGTGACCATACAGTAAATATGTCTAAAAATTGAAAATGAAATTTCCAGCATGATAACTTTGCCACTAGGGTTAATCATTCAATATACAGTAAAGGATTGCAAATACCCTAGTCCCTAGCCTTGATTCTTTGCGGGGAGGTAATGTATATCCAAGCAGATCAGCTGTTTAATTTTTTTTTGCTCTTACTGGGTATCAGCTGAAACTAACATGACGAATAATTATCATTCTTTTATCAAGGCTTAGCTAGCCAGACTGCAATAATGGGATTGCAGTAGTATCGTACAGTAGTTGCAGCAGGACATTTATCACTTTACAGATGCTAAATACAATAAAATGGAAATATCTCAATATTTCAAATAGGCATTTGTGATAGGAAGAAAGAGTGATCTTTATGTACTCATACCTACTAGGGGTAAAATATGATATGGGTTTATGGTGGGGTTTTTTTTTCAAATACTGTCTCTATGAACAACTAGCCAAAAAGACAGCATTATTCTCCACTTTAGCAGTTTATAGTATTATTAGCACTGTTTCACGTTTTGATCTTCAAAACCAAACATATTTCATAAATGTGTTCATGCAAAAGTTTCATGATACTTTTAGTTGCAGTGGGAAACCTTTGTATTGGTAACCCTGTTTTGTACAGTATGTATTGAAGCATTAACAGCACAAAAGGGCAGTATTTCAACTAGTCAGGTCATTGTAAAGCTGTGATCCATTTCCACTTCTTCACTCTGTGGTGTGGGTTTGTGATTTGAGCCACTGACTGGTCACAACCAGGTTTCTGCAAAGGATTTCTAGCCACAAGACTCTTCAAGGTTAACATTTGCTTGTCGACACCAGTGTTCATTAGTAGTCATCAACCTGGCCCATATTTTCTCTGAAAGATGGTTGCCTACTTCACTCCACCTTTACTGAAAAAATGCACAGAGAATGAAGGTTGTCCAATGACAATCGAACTATTGCCCAATTACTAAATATGACCCACACATAACTACTGTACTTCCATGTCAATTGATTTCTGTTCCTGTAAACCTTTTTCAGCAGACTGCTTCCCAGAGATCCTGCCCCAGGAATAACCTGCAGCTCTGAAGACCAGGATTATTCATCGTGTTTACACAATCATTGAAAAAAAATCCACAAATGCCTTATGAAAGCTAAAGGCAGCTTTACAAAAGCCTACTCTTGTGTTTGACATGATCAATGTAGGTTCCATAAAATAAAAAATAAAAAAACATTACTAATTACTAGGACGTGTGTTAACTTAGGTCTAATACAATTACTTGCCTAGTTTTGGAAACAATAATGCTTGGAAAGAATTAAAAGGATTTTTTTCTGTAGTGTAAACATTGTTCTTAAACTCTAAACTTTTTACTGCACCCGAAAAAGTAAGGGTGTCTAGGTTTTGGTGGGTGCTTCTTAACACCAGAAAAATTGATACTATTACCCTTTCCACGGGTACACTATAAACATCACCACTGCCATGCTGCCTTGAGAAGCTAATACGATTCACAGCTCAGCTGAATGCTTCAGGTGATTCCATCTTCTAACTTCAATTTATGGAAAATAATAAAAAAGTAAAACTTAAGAAATTGAATAACTCTATTCATCTTTAACTGGGCTCTAAGGATTTCTTTTTTCAATATGATACTTTCTTCTCGTTACAATATTTCAGTCATCGATGGAGAATTGTCTCTCTTTCGAGTTCTACACTTCAAACGTAAAAAAAGAGTAGGAGGATTACATTCAAAACTGCGGCTATGCCGCCTCTAAAGAGCGCTTTTTTCTCATTAAAACAAAGTGAAATAAGGTGACTTAATACACAGCAGAAAATACTCTAATGTCTAACATTCTGTGTTCAAAACCCATAACATACAAAAGACTCCCAGCCTCAACAGCTGACGCATCCTTAGTCATATTGTCATAATAGCTGGAGTACCAGTAGCGCATCCCTTCAACTCACCTCTGCGCTTGGCTTTAGCAACCTCTTCAAGAAACGAATTCCACTTTCCAAATCCCAGTCTCCGGTTTTACGAGTTGAGTTCAAAATGCATACACGCGAATCAAAAAGCAAAGTTGTCAGAACCGATCTGTTGATCTTGTCGGAGTTTTGATTTGGTCCTTCTCCCTGATGTGCGCTTCGTCTCTCTAAAGCTGTCCCGCTGTTAACCGATACCGCTAAATGTATTTGTTTCTCTTTATCTTGCAACAGCACTTGAGACGGGTACGAGCAGCTAACCCGTCTCCCCGGGACTGGAGGCATGGGAGCACAGGAGGCAAGGGCTCCGCCACCTCTCACATCACGTTGAGGCGGCAGCGGCTCTCTGGTTGCCTTTTTCACAACAAACAGCGAGTCATAGAGTGAGAGTGAGAGAGAGGGAGACGTCAGGGACCCAGCGCGTGGAGTGCGAGCCAAAAATACTGTACTGTACACCCACCCGTATTTTGTTAACACACAGCATATGCAAAAAAAAACGGATCTTATAAATTCACATAACTGCGGGAGATTTCACCAAAATAGGTTTTTTTTAGTACCGCGCATTTCCAGGTACACTTTCGAGTACTGGGAATGACAGTGCTGAGCAGACTCTGCAACGACACAGTGGTGTATTTAACAAAGGTACTGTATCACCTTTTGGTGAATGATGTAGCCCCTTCGTAATAATATGCAGTATAGCATTTTTTTTTGCAGCCTTGAGTACTTCAAGCGTTCTTTCAGGTGACGATTTACTGTATCTGCTGAGCACGTGAGAGATCATAAAATTGCGCTGGCAGCAAAGCAGCAAACAAAATGATTGTTCAAAATTTTCTAATACTCGACTGAAAAAAACATAAATGCCTATATTTTAAAATTGAAATCAAAAGATACTAATGCACAATACTTCTCTTAAGACCGATATTGTTTTTGGTTTAGCTTCCTATTAGCTTCTAGAATTTATAGAGAACAGGCAACGCTTCTAGTAATTGGGACCTAAAGACATTGTTACAGTTCAGTGCTTTTTCGTGACCTAAAAGCTGAGGTGAGTTAAATCACTGCTACTTCTATTAATAATGACAGTTTCGGATGAAGGCAGAAGAATGGTGCAGTTTTTATAGGAATTGTTCACTTTATATTCTGAAACAATTAGGAAGCAAGAAAACACTAGTCTCTAAGTCACTTTCAGGCTACTGGAATGTGTATCATAGAAACATTTCTTCCACATGAATGGTCAGCACTGCATGCATGCTGTGAAATAAATAGGGGCAATCTACGAATCAAATTGCACAAATATGCCCCTGTTATGAAGTGACAGGACAAAAGGAGTTATATGTTGAAAGAGACAGAGATGTATTGAGGAGATATCCATAATCTGGCAGGGATGCCGTAATACATCAACTCATTGACAACCGCAGCAATATAGGCAACTCAGGATTGCTTCCTTTGAAATCAATACACACACGGAGAAAAACTGTCACCTAGCAAGTGCACAAGTGGAACCAGGATTGCTTTTACAGAGAAACGACATAGCAGGACATAATGTCAGGAGAGGAAATTGAATTTGTGGTCTAGAACAAGACATACAAGTACATTTGGAAGACGAGGATAACAAGTGTCCTGGGGTAGATGATCCTCTTGAGGGGAAATGAGACCATATTATGTATTTGTCTTACTGCTTTGTAAGAAAGTCCACACAGAGGGGCAGAGTGATAGAGGTGATTATTTGTCATCTACTGTATTCATACAGTAGACATGACGAATTTCAGAGGGCCTGCAGACACTTCCTGTATTTCACAATCCAATATACCTGTACATACTGTATGTAAAGAAATCAAAAGGTTTTAAAAAGACTAACCCCTACAAGACACAGACAAAAGCGTGACCTTTTGTGCAAACCGTTCAAAACAGACGAAGGGAACAAATATACAGTAGCATGAAGATGCAAACGTGCCTGATCATGGCCCTCTCTGTAATGAGATGAGGATTGATGCTGAGGCATTAAAAAGAGAAAAAAATCCACAGAAGAAAGAGGCAAGTGTTGCCATTTATTTATGCAATAACACAATCCTTACAGTGGTACATTAAATGCATGGTTTGTGCATTTGAGAAAAATCCTGCATGTCCTATATCTTTGATCAAACCAAATAACAGTGTGATAACTATGTAAAAATCTATTTTGAGTTTCAACAGAAAATCTTTTATTGAAAGTGTTTCATGGGGGGTTTCCCTGTTGTTTCTGTAACATCTGTATTGTAAGTTGTAAGCAGCAAAATCGGTGGGGTAAATCAGATTAATCTTATAATAATTAATAATAATTGCTTACACTTCTATAGCGCTTTTCTGGACACTCCACTCAAAGCGCTTTACAGGTAATGGGGACTCCCCTCCACCACCACCAATGTGCAGCCCCACCTGGATGATGCGACGGCAGCCATAGTGCGCCAGAACGCTCACCACACACCGGCTATTAGTGGGGAGGAGAGCAGAGAGTAATGAAGCCAATTCATAGACAGGGATTTTTAGGAGGCCATGATTGGTAAGGGCCAATGGGAAATTTGGCCAGGACGCCAGGGTTACACCCGAACACTTTTCGAGAAACACCCTGGGATTTTTAATGACCACAGAGAGTCAGGACCTCTGTTTTACGTCTCATCCGAAGGACGACGCCTGTTTACAGTATAGTGTCCCTGTCACTATACTGGGGCATTAGGACCCACATGGACCGCAGGGTGAGCACCCCCCTGCAATTTAAATACACTGTACAAGCAAAGGGCTCTCAAGAAGGCCAATACTGTAGCATTACAGAGTGTGTGACACCACCCCACTGTGAGTTTGCACCATTCCCAACTTGGAAACACCTCAGTGACCAAAATTATAAGAGTAATAATAATAATTGCTTACACTTATATAGCGCTTTTCTGGACACTCCACTCAAAGCGCTTTACAAGTAATGGGGACTCCCCTCCACCACCACCAATGTGCAGCTTCCACCTACAGTAGGTAATCATTTATCCCCTAAACAATTTCTCTTTTGAGTAATGTAAAATAATTATGTATTTTGTTATTTCATGTTTTTATTAGATACGTTCTTGAACTAATATATTGTTCGTCCTGAACTTTTCATTGTTAATCATTGTTATATTGTGTTGTTGTGCTCGGTTCTCCCAGAAAACAAATCGACCTTTGAATTGAATTGAAAATGCAGGCCACTTTATTTAAAAAATGACCATCTGACATCATATCAGAGCCTATTTTTTCTTTCATCATGTAATTCTGAGTAAGACATTTGTGTGTACTTTGTGTTAAATTAATAAATAATGCAGATATCTTATTACATACATTCTGTGTCTAGAAAATTGTTATACTCATGTTCTCACTAGCAATGGGGGGTATAATCAGCCTAAATAATTTGGGACCATTGCATGGCTTCTAGTGATTCTGACAGCTGTTCTTTGGTAGCATAGACAAACAGCTCTAACTCAAAATAACAAGAATGCAAAAAGACTAAAGAAGCCGATTCATGAAAACGCATACTTAACACCCCTGGGTTGTATAGTGCCAGTGAAGATTAATGATTCAATATTTAAAATAAAGTATAAAAGATCTGTTGGGCCAAGGCATGTGCTCTTTTATTTAACCACAATATCACCGAACTAGCTGTAACACAAAGGCTTTTTATCGAAGTGCCATTATTTATTTTGATTAATAGAGAGTAATGTCTTCTTGACATCAACAGTGACAGTTTGCTAATTAAAAGGTTTTAGAAAAAGAAGTGTTATTAATATGTACATTGCTGTATTTAATAAACACAATACTAAGGTCAATTTGATTTAATAAAACAAATAAACATTAATTTGAATCAAAATCACAGAAAATGTGAGCACAAATAACAATTAAAAATGTATGATACACTTTTAGCACGAAATGTTATACACTGACCAAATGAGAATATTACAACATAGTATCACATATGACATCCATGAGCATTAATTCAATTCTTTAAGCACTGACAAATAGACTCTATTACTCTATAGCCTCTGGTAAGTCTGCTGTGGAATCTTCTGCCACTCATGCAACAGTAGCCACTAGGGCAGTCTAACCAGTCTGGACTGTATCCTGATGCCTGGACTCAGATCAGGAGGAAAATCTGACCAAGTCATGCCGTTGTAATCCTTGCACTCTGGGGTCCTGCATTGTCCCAGTGGAACATATTGTAGATGTTTCCAGATTGGCTTGCACTGAAAGGAAAAACTGTTGCTTACCATGGCATCTCAAAATGTGTTTTCACATGAGACATGTCATGGAAAAATGACTCGGTAAACAAAATATTCCATCAGCATCTTTCTTTCAGCACCTCATATGTTCTCCTATCCCACAAAGAATGGAAACTTTACCTTTCTGCTGCCAACGTTACACCTGAACTGCCTCCAAGCGTGTGTATCATTTTCATGCAGCCGGTACATTATATCACAGTGGGTTAATTCTTTCTGAATTTCATGTGCGGTAGACATTGCTCTCTGAAAAATACTATATTACATACTGTAGATAGCTTAGATGGATTTGATGGGCCTGAGCCAGCATGGAGACCCTCTGTCTTCTAGCATGTGGTCTCTTCCTCTCACAGCAAATTAATTGATTTCTCTGGACTTGTCAGCTGATTGTAGAAACAAAGCATCTCATCCTCTGATCAACTTTTCTCGCAAGCCTTTAATTGTGCCAGCAGCAACCAGGACATCTTTTTTACTCAGATAAAGTGTGATTGTGTCTTTTACTGTTCTTGCGTTAATTAAAATGATGTCTTTTTGAATGTTAATTGATGCAGGTTCATAGCCACTTATTTTGCCAATTTTCACTCATACACTGTAGCAATCGCTGAGTATATGGGTAATTTCTGAAATCACTTGACATGACCTCAGTGTTTTGTTATCTGCAGGAATAATAGTTCCTTCTACTCAAAACCCATCTGCTAAATATTTAAAAAGTCAGTACCATAATGTATATGTCCAGTGAGATACTGATGTAAACCTTAGATTGCTGCTTTTTCATTACATGTCAATCCATTAAAGAATGATATAAAGTAGATTAATCATTGCAAGTTGTCAAATTGTCTAGGACAGGCATAATTAGCTTTTTTTCATTTCTTATTTCTTTTCTACAATGTCAATATTTTATCTTGGAAACTGAAGGTATCACAGTTTATATTCAGAGGGTACGGTACTTCTGTTAAAAAAAAAAACATTTTTCTATGAAATATGACTTCTGCTACTCAACCCATTGAGTAAATGGGAAGTGGTACTTTTCTTCCTGAGACTTTGGAGTGAATGTCTGCCCAGAGCACTTGAGCTGTCATGCTACAGATTCAGACGATACTACTGTCTCCTCATGACCCACATGTGACCCTGCAGCCTGAGGGCAGACATGTTGGAGGGACGTATATGGGCTGGTAGTTGAATTGGATGAGAGCAACAAAGAACAGGTGATGCCAAAGACAGCTCAGTTGTTCGAGGTCGAAGAGGACTTGATTAACTTAGTCTGCCTGCTGCAGAAAAATCCCTGCTCCTGACAAGGAGCACAAGTCATTAAGCTGATGACGAATGCTGGGAAAT